CTGAACTCTGAGTGGTATTCAGCCTTACGTTTCCTGAACCTGAAGCTTTTAAAGGATACCATAGCTGTCTTCAGTGTTTAATGGCACTTCGTGCTTAACTTGCAGTGAACTGGGTTCTGTGAGTTTAAAACATTTTAAAGTTTACATTTTAAATAAAAATTGTACTTAGGGAATTTGACTTTAAAAAAAAAAAAAAAAAAGGCACAACCTTAAAATCTTGTGGGTTTGTTTTTTGCTCTAGACGGAGTGTGATTGAAGCCGTTTATAATAGACTGAACCCCTACAGGAATGATGATACTGTAAGTATCCTTTCTCTTACATTATCTTCACCACACACACCCCCCCAATTATTTTAGTTGTTTTGTAAAGAAACATATTGCTAGTTATTGTTAAAAGCCCCCTTTCCTCAAAGAAGCAGTAGCAATGTTGTACTCTTTGGACTATGTTTTTTAGTTGTATTCTGCTACCTTCTGCTGATCGTAGTCTTAAACCCCCAGTATGATTGATCCATTTGTCCTCTAGAATTTCTTTATTTGTCTCCTGTCTAGGTTTCTAAATGCTTTCCTGCTAAATGGTGCAGAGTCATGTATGGGGTTTTATTCCTTTTTAAGGGAGATGTTTTTCCCCAAATACCAAGAATAAAAAGGCTGTGCTTGTAGGTTAAGCGGATTTGTAACTATCAGCTCTAAGGATATACTGATTTTCCAAATGGACTGCTTTGTAAGTGCTTTTATTCTTAAGCATAGAACATCTTGCAACAAGCATACAGTTCAGGTTCTTACTGTCAGTAGCCAGAGTGACAAAAATCGACAAACTAAAATATGAACAGTGATCTCAGTTGCAGTTAGATCAGTGGAAACAATGTTCTGTCACCAAAAGTGCTGTTCTTCATACAACAGTTAAATAGTTCCCTTACCTACCAGCAAAAGTTATTACATGCTTAGATGTGAAATAAGTGAAATGCATCCAGACCTAAAGAATTGTGTTGGCCTTACAACAGGGTGCTAGTTTATTTTTTAGTTCTCATTATCTCTTTAGCATAAAAAATCCTAAATAGTGGCTGAAAGATGCTTTACCTTCAAAATACGTTCTATAGTATGTTACTGTTCTATAAATGTACAGTACATAGAATACTAGTTTTGTGATGATATTGGCAATTTGGTTACAGAAATTTGCATACTGAATAGTTGGCATGCAGCTCCTGAGTTTTTGCTCACTACTGCTTTTATTCTTCATCTTACACTTGAAACAAACACAACCATTTTTGTTCTTTCATATAATTGCTCTCCTTTGCTACTTCTGGTCCTGAAGAAAAAGCTGGAGGTGGTACTTTTGCAAAGGGTAATTTCAGTGATTTGGGATTTTTTACTGCACCTCTGTGCCAGCTGTTCTTTATGATTTGTAATGAATTCTGTGTGCAAGTTTGAATGAAGGGTGCAGAACTTTACTGCTAAGAAATTGTCATACATGGCATTGCTAGAGACTTAATTAGCCTTTTTTCTCTCAAATGAATCAGTGCTTTTAAAGAAGAGTAATATTTCTATCACCTTCAATCTTACTAATGATAGAGAAGTGTAGCTATGGAAGCACCAGCATATGCTTTTGTTAAAGCCCATCTTGGCCCATAATTACTTAGGGGAAGTAGCAGGTAATGCTGAAACAACCAAGATTGCTGTATAGAAGCAGTTTCCTTCTAGTTGCACTAGAATCTGTTAAACACTTTTTCAGGGGTGTGGTAGTTACACAAAATCCACAGTTGCCTGTGGACCTAAATGGACCAGATTTTACGGTTAATCAGGTATTGGTTGCATGATTGTTATGCCACGTAGTGTGGCCATATGGTTAGGATTTAGAGCATGGCATGTCTCCACTTCAAATATTTTTGTTATATACATATCCTTGCAGTTTTATTACCATCCAAAATTAGGGTTTCCTGCAGATGCCCTAAGTACACTTCTCTAACCTGAAATTACAAGTGTTAAAATTGATCTGAATTACAACAGGGTGTCAGCTGATGACTGTATCTTCCTGTGCAGTGAGGGAGGGCTGAAAACATAGAGATGATATTGATAATAACAAATGGCATGAGGCACATCGTGCTCTTTTAACACACCTTTGTAGTTAGGGTGTCCATTTGTTATTACTTCTAACTACTCTGGGAATGTTTTTGAATGATGTCCTGGGATATTATTTTGAGCTTAATAAGGCTATTCTAAAACACTTGGTAAGATTTCAAAGTGTGTTGGTACTAATGCTTCATAAATTAAGCATATGTGGGGTTTAGATACTTACGTGCTGTTTCTGAAACGGGAGAGAAAACAGACTCCTGAAGTGATTTAAGTCTTTACCCTTTTCAGTCTGGATTATCCAGAAATTGCTGTAAATATGGGCACTCCAGACTTTAAAGGGTTCCTTCTTTTTTCTTTAAGGATTCTGCCTCAACTGATGATATGTGGTAAAACTGCTCATCTATCTGTGGAGTTCACGTTTCATCCTTCAAATGAAAGTGCAGCCCAACCTCAGTGACCCTTCTTAACATCCATCCTCAACCTTAATTAAAGAAGGGAATATGATGTGTTGGTGAGAGTGACTACAGCAGTACGACATCTAGCCCAGGAACTGATCTTTTTTGTAAAACAGACTTCTGTAAACGTGATTTCAAACCATAATTCATGTTGTAAATCAGACTCCAGCAATTTATGTTGTATGATTTTGTTTTTGTAAAGTGCAATTGTCTTGTACAAAATGCTCATATTTAATTATGAACTGCTTTAAATCACTATAAAGGTTAGAAGAAATGTTTGGCTTGTGTGATGCAACAATATATATCCCTTTAATTCATGTTGTGGTTTTGAATTGCAAGGAGCAGCAGCCTAGCCAGCTAGGTGCTCAAGAGGTGCACAAAACTGTAAAGACAGCTTTTTGGTTGATATGAAAGCTGACTTATGTGCAGCTTACCAGAAACTATAGTGTGTGAATTTGCTTGGCAATTGAAAAGTAACTAAGTAGTGCACATTCTTCAGCAAACGTGAATTGTTTTCTTGGACGCACTCCTGCTCTCACACTGAGTTAAAGGGAGTTCTGATTTTGACTTCAGTGGGAGTTAAATCATGCCCTATTAATAGTATCGTGTTCATACGTGTACGAACCTTGGGATTAGAATGCCTTGATTCTTTGCACCTCTTTTTTCATTAACCCTTAACTGAAACTACTAATCATTGAACACGAACAGACAGCTTTCTACACACAGTAGGAGTCTGCAGCGTTTTTACAATCCTGATTGGCTGGGTCTGCTGCTGTTCCAAGTAAAATACTTTGAATTCCATTTTATCAATAAAGCTTGATTTAACAAACATGAAATTTATCCATATATGTGTAATTCCTTTTTTCCTGCCTTTTAAAATGTCAGTGCCATTGTAAATGATATTTTACTTGTGGAAGAATATTTTTATTAATTGGTAGCCCATTTTTAAAATGGGAAGGATTTTGATTATTGCCCAAGACATAGCCATATGTTAGAGGATGATGTGGGATTAATCCATTACCCTATTTTTTAAAAGTGTGGGGGTTTTCAGGCTTTTTGGTGGTTTGTTTGGGTTTTTTCTCCCCACTGAAGATGTGCATTGGTTTGAATTTGCCTACTGTTTGATAAAAATACATTTGTCAAAGCCTGACAATCTTTAACATTTTATGGTGTGTGTTTTTAATTGACCCACTTAGAATGAGAGACTAGTGGTTAAACAGTACTTGTGATTTGAGATATAGCATGTTGACAATATTTAACTGTTTGTTGTTTAAAATTCTAATTTAAAATTTTATAAGATAATAAACTAATTTGATTTAAGCTTAGCTTTTTCCCATTGAGCATACAGAAATTAAGTTTTTGAGTCAGTCGTGTTTGCAAAACTGCTGTTTTGTGCACCTTGTATTGTCTTTTTGGTTGAGAATATTGTATTTAATATGTAGTTTACTCATTTAGTAGGCAGATTCCCCAAAAGGAAAATCAGTAAAACAAGTAGATTGTAACATTTACTGCAGTTAAACAGAGTCAGAACTTGGTGTATAATTACTTTTTGATAGGAAAATGTAGTACAATGCATTTTGCTATATTTGTTTTTTTTTTCCCTAACTTTGAAATATACATATTTGTATATATAGCCTTAAAACTAATGCAGAGTTAGGGAACACTGAACAGTGAAAAAGTAACTTATAGTGTCTTGGAACTTAAGTATAGTATATACCAGCAAACTTTTCCTTTATCCCTCTTGTCTATGTGGGGTGCTTAAACGTAACTTCATTGTATTCAGTTTGTAATCTGTTCAAGCATGAATGAAGAAAACATAAGCACTATTTGTATTTATAAATTTATAGCAATTTTTGCTTAAAGAACCAGTTCCTTACCTACCTATGAATAAATGCTTAAAATGTCTAATTTTGTTGTAGAGTGCAAAACTATAATAATGTTAACTTATAGCTTCACAGGCACCTAATTAACAAGCATATTTAATAATACATGGCGTATTAGTGCAAAAAGCTAAACTTAATTTAGGACTAGGCAGATAAAGTTCTGTCGTTTTTACATAGAGACTAAAGTTTAGTTTTGGAAACTGCAAAACCTTGAACTGGACTGTGGAACCTTTGAGTTTTAAACTAAAAATCTGAAGCAAAACTGTGGTCTGAAAAGCCATACTTCAAACAATAATCACTTAAACTGTCTCAGTGACAAATGATGTATTTGAAGCCTCTTCTCAGAGGTCTCCTAAAGGTTAGAAAGAAAATAATTCTGCTATTGCTACAGGCGATGTAACTAGGTTTGAGGGTAGCAGAAGAAAGCCCGTTTCAGGCCTTTCTCTCTCCCGCCTATGTTCAGCGTTTTGATGAGGTCAGAGCACTGAATCTACTATGTATGCATAAACACTGCCATTTTAGATACAGATTTTGATTAAAAATACACAGATTAAGTATATAAAGCATCCTAGAAAAGAGGCAAGTTGTACTTTTCACTGCTCTGAAAAGGAAAAGGCACTTTTGCACCTTTGTGCATCTCCTTCTTGCACCAGAAACTTTTTTTAAATGCTAAAAACATTAGCACCTCAGGGGCAAGGCAGCAATTTTTTTGAAGTATTGTGTGCTATTTATTTCCCTCTTGGAAAAAGATTCCTGTGTGACAAAAATGAAAATTGTGTGATGTTAAAAGATGTATTTTTTAAATACATGTTCGAATAGGATGGTCCCAATTTGCTTGTTTTTAAAAGGAAATTACATTTGTAAAGCTACTTTGCTTCGTATGCCATACAACTTTGTTTTCCTTCTACGTATAACAGCTTCACTGGCTTCAGTTTCTGTGCATTTTGTTATAGTCAGATTAAATGTTTCACTGATCATTCTGGGAGAATACCTGTACTGCTTTATGGACAACTGTTTTAAATCTCACTAATTCAGCATTGAAATATGTTCAAGACAGAGGCTTCTAAAATGTATTTTAAAACCAGTGTTGGATTAACTAAATGTAATTACATGAAGTAGGGTCCTAGATTTGCAAGGCTTTGTAAATTCATTGTGGCCGTAGAGTCCCTTTCACATGTGATGGGGCATAAATGTGCAGGTCCAGTGCAAGTTATGAAGCCAGGGCCTTACAGCTGGCACCACAAAGACCTTGATACGTGATCATCACTCGTTTTCATCTTCCAGCAGAAGTCAAAATCGGAGAGAGGAATTTCATCTGCTTGTTGTTAAACTGCACTGAACTTTGGTAGTTAGTCCTAGGTTGTGTCATACTAGCAAGGTGCCTGATGAATGTTAAGCAGCAGAGGAGTAATGGTAGTGCTTGCCTTAATAGTTCATGTAGGTGCTGAAGCAAATAATTTCAATGATAAACTGACTCTAATGTCCATTAAATTGTTTATTGCAAAGCTGGTACTATTTCAACTGTAGGTTAAAATCAGAGCCATTTTGCTCAGTTCAAGATTTGGAAACTTGAAATGGTGATTTAACAAAATTGGGGAACAGTTTTCATTTCACTTGATTCCCATCTTAATTTGATACACTGGGATAGACTTCCTATTGCATTTCATTTTTTAGTAATTTATGAACTAAGGATATGGTTTTATGATCAGCTTATAATCAAGACTAAACTATTGCTCGAAGTAGTTTGCCCTTTTTGCAAGTAGAATTGCCCCTTCTGCCCTTTTTGTGCCACTACTCATGCTTATGTGGCCATGCAGTTGGGTGAAAGACAAAAATCTGTACTCTTCAGCTGGGTAAGTTGATAATCCAGTCACTGGATGATGATCTGAGGGCAAGATGCAGAGTGGGGAGACAGGACTGAGAGCAAAGGAAAGGTTGCACCAGCCCTTCTGCCACAGTTTGGGAATCCACACCCTAAAAGCAGATAAGTGATTGACCTGCATAGGGAGTATCAAAGCCTTTGCAGATCTTACTTCACCTTATACTCAAGACAAATATTTTGCATTGATAAACATTCTTTTTCTTAAAACTGAAAATGTGAGACTGGTTTCAATGTCATCTCGTGTATGAATTCCATGCTGACAAACTTAGTTTCTGTTTGCTTTCTCTAAACATAAGAACCTCTCTCCTGTAGGATAGACAGCATGGCTGCCACAAGGTTAATGATATGGTTGTTACAGTTTACCTTGTTTCAATGTACATCAGGATTTCATCACACTGAGATGTTCACCTTTGGCTCTACCTGCCCCTTCTTGAATTGCTTTTATACACAAATTACTTGGTATATTTAAATTTCTTGATATTTAAACTTGGCTATGTCTGAAATGGACTAACCTGTAGTAAAATGTTACCCTTTGCCTCATGGTTTGGCAAATACGGTATTTTAATATAAACCTGATGTACCTTGTATAGGTTCAGAAACAGCAAAACTTTGTAAAGCTATAGAGCTGTATCTGATATTTTTTCCTGTAGAAAACAGAATTGTTACTCTGTGCCAAGCTTCATGAGGTGTGGAAATAACATCTCTCGGATAACTAGTGTAGCTCCTTGTTCCTATCACTGCATGTGTCTGAGATGATCATTACCTGAGTCTTTATATACCAATACACGGTGTAGAGTCTACTTAGCTGGATATGTTTTTTAACTGTTCAAGTAGTAAAAAGAGGCTCCACACATGAATTTCTAGGATGCTGCAGTGCATAAAATGAAAGTGATTGCTGCTATAAGCTATAAAAATGGAGCAAAATTTAGAAGTAACAATCTGGGGCGCTAAGTACTTTTGACTGACCTGTCTGAAATATTGATCAGAGAATCCGATCTGTTGGTGAGCTCTTCCTGAGCTATCTCTGTGGGTGCTTGCAGTCTGCAGGTGTCTGTGGACCCAGGCATGCACCTTCTGAAGCACTCTGAGCCTTATTTTGCTTAATAATGTTACTTCGTAAATGAAGTAGCAGTCATACGGCATTTGTTCACAGAAGGTTGGGAAGCTGTAGGAAAACTTAAAGCTTGTCTTTATTTTCATGGACCACTAAATCCTTTGAAGGAATATACAACATGCTAGAAGTTGAGTTTACATTATTTTCCACTGAAAACTTGTTTCCAGAAAAATCTGCAAATAATTCTGCTGTTTACTTAAGATGTGGAAAAAAATGTCTGGAGCTTTAATTTCCTGATTATGTTGGAGTTATTGACCTACAGTGATCTAGGCTGTATGCATATTCCTTGCTTTATGTGTTTATTTGATGTTCCTCTGAGTAGCATTAAACCAGATGGTTTGGTTTTG